TGTTGAGGTATGTTCCCTCCAGTCCAGTTCCCTCTAGGATTTTGAACATAAATGCATATTAAATTTTGTCAAAGGCCTTATCTGCATTTATGAGGTGACCTTGTGGTTCTTGTCCTTTAGCCCATTTATATGATTTATGATGTTTATTGACTTATGTATATTGAACCATCCCTGCATCTCTGGAATAAAGCCAGCTTGATTATGGTGGATGATCTTTTTGACGTGTATCTGTATGTGGTTTTCAAGTATCTTGTTGAGAACTTTTGCATCTATGTTCATTAAGGATATGGGTCTATAGTTTTCTTTTTTGGTTGTATCACCTGGCTTTGATATTAGAGTGATACTGGCTTCATAGAAGGAATTTGGAAGTTCTCCCTCCATTTCTATCTTTTTGAATATCTTAAGTAGTATTGGCTTATAGATCCTCTTTAAAGGTCTGGTAGAATTCTCCTGTAAATCCATCTGGTCCTGGGCTTTTTTCAGTCGAGAGGTTTTGTATTACTATTTCAATTTCCTTATGTGTTATGGGTCTGTTTAAGCTGTTAATCTCTTCTTGGTTTAGCCTTGGTCGTTCCCATGCTTTTAGGTACCCATCCATTTCTTTTAGGTTTTCAAGTTTAGTAGCATATAGGTTTTTAAAGTATTCCCTTATAATATTCTGGATCTCTTTGGTGTCTGTTGTGATGTTTCTCCTTTCATCTCTGATTTTGTTGATTTGGAGGTGGTCTTTCTTTCTTTTGGTTAACTGGGCTTGCAGTCTGTCAATCTTGTTTATCTTCTCAAAGAACCAGCTATTGGATTTGTTGATTCTTCGTACTGTTTTCTTTGTTTCTATTTCATTAATTTCTGCTCTGATTTTTGTTACTTCTTGTCTGCTGGGTTTGGGTTTCATTTGCTGGTGCTTTTCAAGTGTGTTGAGTTGCAATGTTAAGTCATTTATTTGTGATCTTTCTGGGGGTTTTTTTGTTTTGTTTTGTTTTGTTTTTTTCGTCTTTTTGAGACAGGGTCTCCCTGTAGCCCCAGTTGTCCTGGAACTCACTATGTAGACCAGGCTGGCCTTGAACTCAGAGATCCACCTGCCTCTGCCACCAAGTGTGGCAGCCTTTCTGATTTTTTTCATGCAGGCACTTAGACTCTAAACTTCCCTCAAAGGACTACTTTCAGTGTGTCCCAGAGGTTTTGTTGTGCTGTATTGTCCTTTTCATTTAGTTCCAGGAATACTTTTGTTTCTTTCTTAATTTCTCCTTTGACCCATTCATCATTCAGGAGTGTGTTGTTTAATCTCCATGTGTTCATGTAGTTACTGGGGATTCTTCCAGTGTTGATTTTAAGCTTTATTGCCTTGTGGTCTGATAGAATGCATGGAATTATTTCAGTCTTTTTGTATCTGTTGAGGTTTGTTTTGTGCCCCCAGTACATGGTCAGTTTTGAAGAAGGTTCCATGGGGTGCTGAATAGAAAGTATATCCTTTTGTGCTTGGGTAGAATATTCGTTAGATGTCTATTAGGTCCATTTGATATATGGTATTATTTAATTCAGATGTCCCTCTGTTCATTCTCTGTTCTGTGGACCTATCTAATGGTGACAATGGGGTATTGAAGTCCCCTACTGTTGATGAGTTAGGATTAATCTGGTTCTTAAAGTCCTGTAATATTGTTTTTATGAAGTTGAGTGAACCAGAGTTTGGTGAATATGTGTTCATGGTTGTAATATCTTCTTGGTTTATTGTTCCTTTGATCAGAATGAAGTGGCTTTCTTTGTCTCTGATTCGTTTTAGTTTAAAGTCTGTTTAATCAGTTATTAGAATTGCAATTCCTGCTTTTTTCTTAGTACCATTCACTTGGTATATTTTTTTTTTTCATGCTTTCACCTTAAGGTAGTTTACACCTGTCCTTGAAAGTGAGATGAGTTTCTTTTTCCCTTTTTCTCTTTTTCTCTTTTTTCTGGGTCCTCTCCTCCTGGCCAGCGGTGGACCCCATTGTGAGATGAGTTTCTTGCAGACAACAAAAAGATGGGTTTTATTTCTTAATCCGTTCAACTAGTCTGTATCTTTTGACTGAGTTCAGTCCATTGGTATTTAAAGTTATTAATGAAAGATGTGTAGTGAATCCTGTCATTTTTATTTCTGTTCGCATTCTTGGTGTAGCTGCGCATTTCCACAGTTATACCTTCATTGAATTTCTTTCCATCACCGCTTGTATATAGTCGTTCCTTTCTTCAACTCTTTGTATTGCTTCTAGAACTCTCTGAAGGGCTGGTTTTGTGGACATGAATTCTTTCAGCCTATTTATGTCATGGAAGATTTTTCTTTCCCCTTCAACTATGATAGACATTTTGGCTTGGTAAAATAATCTGGGTTGGCATCTGTGGTCATTTAAAACTGGGAATACTTTGGTCCAGGCTTTTCTGGCTTTCATAGTTTGCACTGAAAAGGCAACTGTAATCCTGATGGGTTTTCCTTTATATATGATTTGTTGTTTTTCTTTTTCAGCTTTCAGTATTCTCTCTTTGTTCTGAACGTTTAGTGTTTTTACTATGATGTGGCATGGAGAGTTTCTTTTCTGGTCCTGCCTATTTGGTGTTCTATGTGCTTCTTGTATTTGTATGGGTATGTCTTTCTTTAATTTGGGAATTTTTCTTCTACAATCCTGTTGAAGATCTGTTGAATCTCATCTTGAGATTCCTCTCCTTCCTGTATGCCTATGATTCATAAATTTGTTGGGTTTTTTTTAATGGTGTCACACAATTCTTGCATATTCCATTGTTGTGTTTCTTTAAGTTTGGGAATAATCTTTGCTTGAGTGGTCTAATTCTTCCACTTTATCTTCCAGTTCTGATACTCTGTTTTCCATTTCATTCATCCTATTGGTGAGGTTTTCTCCTGTCATTTCTAATTGGCTTCTGAGTGTTTCACTGGTTTCATTGTTTGTGTGTTCTTTAAATTCACTGAATTCTTTTTTCATGTTTATAATTGTTCTTTTGAATTCCATGTCCTGTGTCAGCTCTAGGGGGTTCTCATTGTACTCCTCTAGAGGACTCTTGGTACTTGGTGGGGATATGTTATTCTGGATTTTCATGTTACTGTTTTTTCTTTGTGACTTTGACATGTGAATTTCCTTCGTAGTTTCTGATTCTTGTGTGAGACTCAAGCCTTCCTTTGTTGAGTTTAGATCTGCTTCTTTTTGTAAACTTTGTGTGCCTTTGTGGTTTACTTGTTGGGCATGAAAAGCTGGTTGGTCTAGACTTCAGGTTCTCTCTTTTGATTTTGTATTGGAGTGGCCTAATTGCTTTTGTCTTCAGGAGTTCCCTCAGAGGCCCAAGTGAGATGAGGCTCAGATGTTATCAGGCTTTCTCCTAAGGTACGGGTCCCTCCAGGAAAGATGCTGCCTTCAAGAATTTGGGGGCTACGGTGGCCTGGGAGAAGCGCCCAGGATAGATGCTGGTCTCAGGAAGCTGGTGGCTGTGCCACCCAGTGGAAGTAAAGGGAGGTGAGGGCGGGACCAGGCTTAGAGGGTTCCTGGGGGCAGGCAGGGAGAAACTGGATTGGCCCAGATCCAAAGGATCAGGAAGCAGTGGAGGCAGGAGCTGGGAGGGTGAAAGAGGCTGGGGGGGGGTCAAGGCACGCTGGGCATACTGGACTTACCAAGGGACGGTGCTGGGACCAGGACATGGGAGGCCGTGCTGCCCAGGGAAGTAAAGGGAGGTGAGGGCGGAACAAGGCCTACGTGGTTCCTGGGGTTCCGCAGGAAGGAACTGGGTTGGTCCCGATACAAAGGATCAGGAAGCAGTGGCCGCTCTAGGCTGAGAGGTTAGCCCAGGTGTCTGGGGTGCCAAGAGTAGAAATGGGCCTGTACCCAGCCTAGGAGGAGAGGCTCGGCAGGCAACCCTAAAATCTTTTAAGGATTAGATAGAAGCTCCCAAATACTTTTGACATTTTTGGCCTTGGAACAGAGTATGTTGTTGTTAGCTATTTTCTAATTGTCTGATGACCAAACCATAGAAAGACTTGTTTTATAAATCTATTTTTTAAACTTTGAATTTTGCACTGAACTGCTTGATGAAAGAATGCATATCATTTTTCTTCATATACATTTATTATAGCTCTTATAATGATGCAACTATGTGTTTTTACATTCACCTTTAAGGCTCTTGCTGAAGAGGCCAGTGAAGATGAGTTTCCCTCTGATGTTGATTTGAATGATCCATACTTTGCTGAAGAGGTTAAAAAAATAGGTAAGCAAGCCTTTTTTTGTAATTTCCAGCTGGACTAGAAAGAAAAAAGTGCTATGAACAGAAATAATATAGACCAACCATTCTTTTAAAACTAGTAGAATTTAGATCACTCCATTAATGGTTTATAGGCAAGTCTGTCCTGTAGAATTCAATCCTAGATCATACTGAAAAGGGTCAGAATGCCCCCTGTACAAAGAAGGAATAAAATAATTTCATTAAAGAGACTTTTTAAAAATTTGTTTTTACGTGTATGAGTGTTGCTCCTGCATGTGTGTATTTGCCCTATGTGTGTGCAGTGCCCTGCCAGAAGAAGGCTTCAGAAATCCTGAAACTACTGTTACAGGTGGTTGTAAATCACCATGTGGGTCTGTGAACCAGACCATGGTCCTTTGCAAAAGCAGCAAATGTTCTTTACTGGTGAGCCATCTCTCTAGCCCCCTCATTATAAGAGACTTTTAATAACACAAGGAATTTAATAGTTTAATGGGGATTCTTCTGGGAATTTTTCTTCTAACTAACCAGATGGACTAAAAGAATGACAGGACATAGAGGAATTGTCTTCTTGCATGCTTTTGATAATACTAATAATCCAGGTCTCTCTCTGCCAAGGCAATAAAAATTAAGCATGAAATGAATTTGTCATGTCATATATAGAGATTTTAAAATGTATACATGGGGGCTGGAGAGATGGCTCAGCTTTTATGAACACTGATTCTTCTTGCAGAAGACCCAGGTTCGAATCCCAGCACCCACATGGCAGCTAACAACTGTCCATAACTCCAGTCCCAGGGGATCTGACAGCCTCTTCTGACCTCCTCAGGCATTGCACAACACTGGTGCACTTACTTCCATGCAGGCAGGACACACATACACGTAAAATTAAAACAATAAATAAAATTTCAAAAATGTATGGAATGGTAGTATACTTTTTTTTTCAAATGAACAAAAGCTTCTATGTTTCATTTTTAGTCTCTTTTGTGTTTATCCTTATTAATTGCAGCTAAAAGCCAGCCTTTCTCTTAGTCCCCTTCTTTGAATCTCTAAACTAACTCATTTAGTTTAGTATCTCATTTCCTGTACCCCGTGAGTGTTGTTCCCATGTTTATACCACTTGTTCTTTCCAGATGCTTTCAGTCTTACCTTTTGGATATATATGAATGTGTTTGGTGAGGTTCAGGCCATTCTTAGGCAAGTCAGTGCAGGCACAACTATAACCATTTTCCATTTGCTCTCGTGTGTTTTGCCTTTCCCTGTTCTTTATACCACATACATGACCTCCCAAAGGCTTGCTCTTGGAACAGCTCCAAGCTGGCATTGTAAAGAAAAGGATTTTATGAAGTTTCCCTGCTTCTTGTCCCTCCTGACTAGTGGGCCAGAATAGTTCTCAACAGGAAATTCAGAATTGCTTAAAATTATTTCCTCGTTGTTACAGCCTTTTAGCACTGACATTTTATTGATGAAAAGGAGATCAAGATGAATGAAGTCTATTATAGGATGTGAGATTCTGGGAATTGGAAAGGGAAATGGAAACTTAACATATTCTGATTTTTATCATACCTGTGTGGTCATTTCTAAAAGATGATGGATTTTAGCCTTATCCTCTGGCTAAATCAAAATTTATAATGGAGAAATGTGAAGCGTTATAGTGTGCTTCCTCTGTGTCCAAAGTCCTTCATTTGGCATATAAAGTCTAGTCAGATTGTACAACTCAGAACAAAACTCAAAGAAGCAGCTCAAGGATTCACAGTAGCAGCTTCTTGGAGTCAGCACATTTAAATTACATATAAGCTTTCTCTAGTGTTAGTATCAAAAAAATATAGGTAAAACTTGCTTGCTTTGAATGTATCTTTTTTGTTATCTTTTTTATTTCAGAATGCTTCATAAGAGGAATTGTTGCTATCTGATCTTAAGTTACTGAGTTTTTGTTGTTTTAAAAGAAAATAGAAAGACTGAGAGATTCTTAAGAAATTTATGGCTAAAATATGGTGTCTTGCCATGTTTGTTCACTCTATCAATAAATATTCTATTTATCTACCAGGTACTGGGCAGTCTGGTAGGCTTGAGGTGTAGTGGTAGTAATACAAACAAGATGGCATCCTTCATGGAGTCTGGTTTTATGGAAAGTGTGCTAAAAATAGAAACAAGATTTTGAGAGTATGGTAAATACTCTAAAAGAAATGAGTTAACAGAGAATATAACTTGGAGGAGAAAGGAAGCCAGGGGTGTGTGGTATAAATAGGATAGCCTAAGAAGGCTTCCTTGAGGTGGTGATACTTGAGCTGTCAAATGGAAAGTCAGGCAGAAAAAATCCTGGAGAAAGAGCCACTGCAAAGGACAGCACAGTATCTAAGGTGAGAAAGAACATTTTATACAGTGTTGGAGGAATTGAAAGATATCATCATGGCCAGAGCAGGGTCAGGAATGGAAAACCTGTAGGACTTTGTTGTCAGGGCAACAAATTAGGATTTTATTGTTGGTTATAGAAAGCCACCAAACAGCATTTCAGCATTAAAGTGACATAATCTAGTATATCTTTTAATATATGACTGATTCCTGCAGAGAATATATTGAAAAAAGACACTAGTGAGAACTTGGAAACCAGGCTTTTTGCAGAGAGAGATTTAGACAAAAGGTGATGAAGGTTTTGTCAATGAAAGAAACAGCCAGCTCTCTTTTGGGGCTGGAGAGATGGCTTAGAGGTTAAGAGCACTAGTTGCTCTTGCAGAGGACCCAGTTTCAATTCCCAGCACCTTCATGGCAGCTAACAATCATCCATAACTCCACTTCCAGGGGATCCAGTGCCCTCTTCTGGCATCCTTGGGCATTGCATGACATGGGTGCACCTACCTACATGTAGGTAATACACTCATACACATAAAATAAAAATAATAAAATATTTTTAAAAAGAAAGAGCTCTCGCCTCAAAGGAATGAAGGAGATGGAGCCAAATAAGAATGACCATGACCCAGGAACACAAATTTAGGTTTCTCCAAATACCATGTTCCAATGAGGTAGCAATTTTATGAACTATTTTATAGTACCAGAACAAAGAAAGTCATAAATCAGCAGACTTTCAAATACATGAGTAGCACATTCAGTAAGCAGGTCATAGCCAAAGCAGGAAGGATTCTGCTATAGGCCTCGGATGCCGATGCCATACTTAGCTTTTTGGTTGGTAGGAGCTATTTCTTTGTCAGGTTAATACATTGTTAAAGGTTTATTTTTCTGTTAGTCACAAGATACTAAGTTAGAATCAGGTGGGCAGGCTGGAGAAATGGCCCAGTGGTTAAGAGCACTGGCTGCTCTCCCTGCGGACCAGGGCAGGGCGTGATGTAAGACAGTTTATGGTGTTCACCGCCCAGCATTTTAAGCAGTCTGTATTTTCAGGGGCGGTGAGGGAAGGTGCCTCCTTGCCCACGGCCTCTAGACTCCAGGCCTTCTTCTGTGTTGTTTTTATCTTGACCTCCTACTCTCTCTGGTCAGGGAAGGCCAAGATCTGACCAGACCACATCTCTGGTAGATAAAGGTAAAATACTTTGATTCCCTTCATTGCACGCAAAGAAGCCCATATGGAGAGATATTTCTTTCTGACTCAAAAGTGAAAACTTAGAAGCAGAAATTTCAATGGGAAGAAATTTCTGTGTACATTCAGATAGAGCCCTTCCACTCCAAAAACAACTGAGGCTGGAGAAATGGCCCAGTGGTTAAGAGCACTGGCTGCTCTTGCAGAGGACCCAGGTTTGATTCCCAGCACCCACAAGGTGGCTAACAACTCTCTATAACTCCAGTTCCAAGGGATCCAACACCCTTTCTGACTTAGACGAACAGTGCACAATTTGGGGACACTTGCATGCAGACAATACACACATACACATAAAATAAAAATAAACTATTTTAATAAAGAAATAAATGAACAAAAGAAGCAAGTGGGCAAGGTATGGCTATTTAGAGACTGTAAACACTGCCCAGGGTAAATTTTAAAAAGGCTCCAGACCTGCAACATTCCATTTCATTGAAGTGGTAATCAGTCGATCAGCCTTGCAGGAAGTTCTGGTGAACTTTCCTTCACAGTTTATTCTGTGTACCATTCATCAAATTAAAAGGAGAAAAAAGGTATTCTAGATAGATTTGGGGAGTATGTTTACTATGTATTTTGATAAGGAAAGAAATTTAACTCTTGGTGTTTCGGCTTAAGTCTTCTATTTACTGATTTAGTGCTGCATTTATTATTACACCAACATTGTAATCACCTGAACAAATAGGGGGACTCTTAAATTGAGGGTTTGTTTTTGTTTCTGTTTTTTTTATGTTTATAAGCTTATTGCCTGCATGTATGTGAGTGCACCCATGTCGTGCAGTGCCACAGAGATCAGAAGAGGGCTTCGGATTCCCTTGGAACTGGTGTTAAGGATGGTTGTTAGCAGCCAGGACTCTAACCCAAGTCCTCTACAAGAGCAGTTAGTGCTCTTAACCACTGAGCCATCTCTCCAGCCCCTAAATTGTTTTTGGGGGGCGTGGGGGGGAGTTTGGTTTTTTGTTTGTTTGTTTGTTTGTTTGTTTGTTTGTTTGGTCTTTTTGAAACAGGGTTTCCCTGTAGCCCCAGCTCTCCTGGAACTTACTGTGTAGACCAGGCTGGCCTTAAACTCACAGAGATCCACCTGCCTCCTCCTCCCCAGTGCTGGGATTAAAGGCATGCACCACCACACCTGGCCTAAATTGTTTTTTTAAGAGTGGGCCTGAACATGGGGAACACTAGTTTCCCTATTTATTTAAAATTGTCTGTCTCCCAGAACTGTGCTGATGAATCTCTTTTATCCCCTCAGCCTATGAAGATAGAGCTGTTTCCTCATCCTGTGCTAATGAAACTGTCCCTGGAATGCTTATTCTCCCAATGTGCCCTGTCAGGCTGCACCCATAATTTATTCAACATGGTTTCTTAAACTTCATTGGGGAAATGCAAGTTTAAGATAGGTTCCACCCTTATTCTCCACAGACCATTA